GGGAATGCGAATTGACCTAGGCTAGCCTAGCCATGTACTCTAGGGAGTAAGTTCCATTATCGCAGTGAAACTCAACCGCGCGACTCCAGACAGTTACGAAACTATCCGGAAGGAATCCTCGCCACTGCTGCTGCCTGATGCTGACGGTCCAGATCCTTTCGTAACTGAAGACCCTTCTTGTCACTTCCGTTTTCACCTTCATGTTTGGCAGTGTGTGCTTCGACTGCTGCGGTAAGTAGTGCACAGTGATGCTTCAGTGATACTATTCGTAACACCCCCCTTCACTCCTGGCCGTAGCGAGTCTTGGCCGCTTCACTACTCCGCTGAGTTCAGAGCAGTGTTGGTGCTGCGGACGTGACAGCTTCTTTGTGAGGAAGTTAGCTGCCCTGTCACCCGTCGGGCAGTAGGGTTTAGGGTTACCTTGCTTTTGCCAACTTTGTCCTTGTCGAAGAAGTACCGCAGCGCGATGTGTTTGGTGCGGTTGACAAATCCATGCTTGTTCGCAATCATGATCGCGCTTTGGTTGTCACAGTGCATGCGGAAGTTCGGCGAATAGCAGCTGCAGCAGCTCTAGAAGGTAAAGGCCTTCGCGAATAGCTTCTGTTTCTGCAATGAACTCGGCCTTCGCAAATGACAGGGCAACCAGCTCCTGTTTCTGTGAGTTCCAGGAGATGGGGCCGTTGGGTTCGAGGCGTAAAAGGAAGCATGGACCATCGATTGTCGGGGTCAGCGGCATGGTCGCCATCCACGTAGCCGATGAAGTTGAAGGACGCGGTGGGGATGGTGGAGTAGCAGAGCCCAACATTGGGCGTGGAGATGAAGAACTGTAGTGCTCAGTGAAGATCTAGCACTGAGCCAAATGGTTTGCGATGTACGAGAGATCGGGCCTGCAGGTAACAGAGGCAAAGAGTAGGCATCCCAGCTACTGCTGTTAAGTCTGAAGCCCGGCAGGGGACAGAGCTTTGTTGTCCGGCTTGTGGTTGCGGTGTGGAGCCCGAGAAGCTGAAGTCCAGTGAGGGTGTTGTCGTGGTGATGTTGCGGGGTGACCTCCTGTACGCCATCGACATCGCTTTCTGGTTCTGGCGGTGATGGTGCTGCTGCACCTCTGTCGCTTCCGCTTCCGCCCGTTGCTCCTGCTCCTCCTTTCGGAGAGTCGTTGCCGTCGCTGCTGCTGCGATCGCCTCTTATGAACCCGCCTCTGGTGTCCTGCTCTAGAATGGCTGCTGCAACTTCGTCCTCAGGTGGAGCGTAGCTGTGCTCGTCATTGGCGTACACACACAATCGCGTTCGCCTGCATGCCTTTGCGAAACTGGTGGAGGAAGAGCGGCTCGTAGAAAAACACGTTGCGCGCGTTCGTAGTTTTTTGGCTCATAATATCCAGGATGAGCCTTGCCTTATACTCATTGCTGATGCCCAGGTGAATACCCCAGCGCGCTCGGCTTGCAAACTTCCCAATACTTTTCATTGGCAGCATATGGTCGTTCATGCACGGCGTGGTATACTGCGTAGGTCCTGTAGATGGCCAGACGCTTCGATTGTTTCATTAGCGCGCGCACCTTCGTCATGAACGTGCGGTTTGTGCGCTCGGCTACACATTGCAGTCGGTGCACGTAGGGGATGGAAATGTGATGCTCGATTACCTTCTGCGCCATGTTTTCTTGCAGCTCCTTGCTCCTGAACTCCGCTGGGCCATCAGATTGCCAGATCTTCAGCTTCTCCCCGGATTGCCACTGCGTGCGCGAGCCACAGAAGAAAAACTTTGTATGCTCTCCTGCGCGCGTCTAGGGTTAACGACCCACATGAAGTGCGTTCCGGCGTGCTGACAGGCGAGCGTATACACTTCATCGTTGATTCCGCAGTGTCCTACGTTGAGAGAGTCACTGTCTACCTTCTCCATTTTTGCGTATCAATTGGTGCCATGCTCGATCAGGGGGAACGGTTGGTGGCTCAGCGCGGCTTCGGGGCAGACAGTGCAGCTGCGCGTATGTGTCGCGCACCTTACTTCGATGCCATCTGGGCATAGCAGTGCGCCAAGCGCAAACACGCGCACCACCCATCATTCATTCGTTCCTGCTGCACGCCTTCCGTTATTCGCATCACACTCCCATCCCTGTTCCTCCCGATCGGAAACCATAACATTGCGCCGTTCACCTTCGCCACGCCTTCCTCGCCTCTCAAAGCACCCCGTTGAAACAGTGGTGAAGGTGTGGTGCTGAGGGGATAGCTAGAAATACCCACCTCACGGGACGGGGTGATGGCAGAGAGAACAGCAGGTCCCATAACTTCCTATGAGGTTCTGTGACTGGCACCAAACCTCTCTGCCATTCTTGCAATATCCTAGACAACTAAGCTACTAAGAAACCCCTTGTTTAAAATAACAAACACATGTTGATAGAGCAAATTGTGTTGCAGGGTCCTATCCTTACACATATAACTCAGCTTAACTCTAGAGTCACCACACATTCTGACCAGTTGCTGAGAAGGGCACAGGTACTGTCCAACTTTGGAGCAATATTTTATGTGAACTAATGAGAAAGAAAAAAACCTCGTTTGAACGGACATAAAAATGATAGCACGTATCGTCAGGTCTATCATCGCACGGCTTCATCTGTTCAACTGTAAGATACACAACATCTTCCTACCAGATGCTGTGAACGACATCCTCTCAACATCGTGAATGAACGAATTATTAGGAAAAACATTGCGTAGGATGACAAACGATCTTCAATATGGCCCCTCATGTCACACAACAGAACCATGCTAGGTTTACTTGGCCTCATGGTGTGAAACATCATATCTTCCTACCGGATGCTGCTAATCATTCTCATCTTTGTCCAGCATCCATGCAATGTAGTAACTGAAAGAATGATCAGCCGAAACATTGTTACTATCTAAGTTTCTTCAGCGTGGTTTATGCAGACATGGATCCTGAGGTAGACCACATAGGCCAAAACCGATGATATATTCGTCAGGGCTCTCTAGCCTAGAGCTATCATAGGTTCTATATATAGCGTGGCCTTGTCCGCGTAGATCGTCCGATGGAAGATCTTTGTATCATCTACAGTTTGGACATCATAATTTAACTCAAACCTTGGCATTGTGGGCCTTTACTGCGTTCATTGAAGTAGTATTGCCCTGGTGAGTTGTCACACACGTGTTGTTCTTTCGTGTTGACTTGCATTACGGCATTTTGCCTTGCTGGATAGACCTGTTCAGCCACCCTGATTACCTTTACGGTCATACTATGCCCTTCAACGCATCATGTACACGTACTACGAGTACGTGGACGAGCCAATATGGATTTGAGCGCAAGATATCTGGTGCATGTCGGGCTAAGAATTGAACCACCATACCACGATATACATCTCGACAATGTAGCCACATCACCAGTCATAGTGCATGCCTCACTTGCTTACGCTTAATCTCATCAACTTCTACGAACAACATACCTACTTGTTAGGATATTGACATGGTTTGCAACTTCATTTTCAGTGTGTACATGTCGCAACAATCAGTAGAAACCATATCAACATATCCTACGCGGCATAGTACACAACGGGACATATCGCTCGACCCTAACCTTAGGGCTTAGCCATACGATACTGTTCAGGGCAACGTGTCTACCTACCATCATCCCTATAAGGCACGACCCTTTTCATCCACGTCCTCACTAAATGGAAGCAACCATGTTACAAGACGTATTGGGCGTTGGAAAGACCCTGTGTGATGGACCAGGGTTCCATGTTTCGCCATGGCAACAATAGCACTACCAACCACATATATTAGGAGAGGTGCAATGCCTGATTGCTGCTTCCGATTTTTTAACACAAACAGTCACGACTGTATTATGGTTGCTTCGTCACCACGGAAACTATTAGTGGTGGTGGAGAATTACCATAAAGGTCCGATAAATTTAGGGTGGACAATTTGGTGAAGCGTCTCAGGACATAGGGTTTTATATGCTAGGAACTGAATCAGCCCATGCTGCACAAATACATTGTCCAGATTTAAGACGCGAGGTTGTGAAGCTAGGTTGTGTTCATTGCAAATAGGAGTGCAAGTGCGAGCTGGAAATCCAGATTTAGTAGTCAACGTGGGATTGCCCAACACAATGGTTGTCTTATTCGCACACATTAGATTTTATGGAGGTTATAGACTCAGGCCACTATGTTACCATCAAAGTTTATTTATCAATACTAGGGCAGAAATACTTTACCAGGCATACGTATTAAACAGCTTCAATGAGGGTCGGGTGAAGGATGTGATAATATGCTCTGCCCTCACAAGGCTCTGCAGGTGAACTACCTTGTACGTGATATCTCGACGTCCTGTACTGAGCTTAATGCTGGATGTTTCGTCGCCCAACCCTCGCTCCTCAAGCAATCTGACATACGCTAATGGGTGCATCTCATGTCGGCATCCTCCCGTTGGCGTATTCACGTGAAATAGCATTAACAACCGCGCGTACACCACGCGGGCCTCTGCATCACTGCGCGTATGTGAGACCGGATTTTTTAGGGAGACTTACGAGAACCAGGGTGTGTTGTGGAATTGAGGTGTAGCCCTCGCATAATGGTCCTCGCACCCTTCTTTTCCAGGAAGTGCTACTGCTGTATGGACCTGCAAGTACGTGGTGTTGGACGAAAACGGTGGATTAGAGTCCAATACACGGTCATATGGGCATCGTCATGTGGATGGGTGTGGGAACATATAGGGTCCAGACTCACATGTATTTCGTCCACATTCCACCCAGCCCGGTTGAGCGCTGTTGTGAATAAGTCCATGCAATTGCCATGGACCTCCTTATAGCTGCGCCACACATCCGCCCCTAGTTGCTTGCCCTGAACATGGGGCATGGAGACGGTGCTCGACGTTGCTGTTAAGACGGGATGCCCCTGTGCCGCAGCCTGTGGCGTGGTTGATATAGGTGTACGGAGGGGTTTGGAGCGGAGTAGCAATGGGGGAAGGGAGGTGCAGCATCTGGTGAAATGATATGGAGCATGTGGGTAAAGGATGTTAAGGATGTGGGCAAGTGGGGTGCTGCATGGGGGGAGGTGGGGTGCTGCATGGGGGGATGTGGGGTGCTGCATGGGGGGATGTGGGGTGCTGCATGGGGGGATGTGGGGTGCTGCATGGGGGGATGTGGGGTGCTGCATGGGGGGATGTGGGGTGCTGCATGGGGGGATGTGGGGTGCTGCATGGGGGGATGTGGGGTGCTGCATGGGGGGATGTGGGGTGCTGCATGGGGGGATGTGGGGTGCTGCATGGGGGGATGTGGGGTGCTGCATGGGGGGATGTGGGGTGCTGCATGGGGGGATGTGGGGTGCTGCATGGGGGATGTGGGTGCTGCATGGGGGGATGTGAGGTGCTGCATGGGGGGATGTGGGGTGCTGCATGGGGGGATGTGGGGTGCTGCATGGGGGGAGGTGGGGTGCTGCATGGGGGGATGTGGGGTGCTGCATGGGGGGATGTGGGGTGCTGCATCAGGGGATGTGGGGTGCTGCATGGGGGGATGTGGGGTGCTGCATGTGGGGATGTGGGGTGCTGCATGGGGGGATGTGGGGTGCTGCATGGGGGGAGGTGGGGTGCTGCATGGGGGGATGTGGGGTGCTGCATGGGGGGAGGTGGGGTGCTGCATGGGGGGATGTGGGGTGCTGCATGGGGGGATGTGGGGTGCTGCATGGGGGGATGTGGGGTGCTGCATGGGGGGATATGGGGTGCTGCATGGGGGGATGTGGGGTGCTGCATGGGGGGATGTGGGGTGCTGCATGGGGGGATGTGGGGTGCTGCATGGGGGGATGTGGGGTGCTGCATGGGGGGAGGTGGGGTGCTCCATGGGGGGATGTGGGGTGCTGCATGGGGGGATGCGAGGTGCTGCATGGGGGGTGTGAGGTTCACAGCGTTGCTGGCAAAGTCTCTGCTGGATAGAGGAGGCATAAACACTCCGTTTAAGGCATGGACGAGGTGTAGGCAAGGGGGGATGGGTGCGATATCAAGACGGGGATGGGTGACTAATTTTGAGCGCCGAACTGGTCATTGGACTGGATTACGCACCTTCACAATTGCCGTCTCACGTTTTGCCCCTTGTGAGAAAGAGCTTGGAAGATGGATCAGCGCCGAGCGGAGCGCAGTTGTGCGCATGATGGCATCATCATAATTTCGATAATTGGAGGAACGGAAAGGTCGTTTGCAAGTTGGAGCATGGGCATGCTCCCAGGTGGCTGCAGAGTACTCCGAGGGAGCGCCGGATCTGCGTATTGCATCTGGAAAGTGCACCATTTGATGCACTTTTACCAGTAACCATCCGTGACCCGTACGTGGCAGATTCGTCCTCATAACACGGATCAGCCTGGTAAGTTCTGGTACGAAAAGCGCAATATTAGTGTGCAGAGGCATAGTGCTGTTTTCAAATAGGTGGGGGGAAGAGGTGGAAGGGGGGCCGTGGGGAGAGATGCTGAAGAATGGTTGGCTTACTCTTTTGTGTCGACCACGTATTGCCAAAGCATGGCTTCAGTGTATCGGGTAGCACGGAAGTACTGGTCGTACCACTTTACGAAGGTCCGCAAAACGGCCATCTTCACTGGAGCTATGCGCATGTTTTCCAATATCAAGAGTACTACCTGAGCTGACACGTTAAGACGGGGTAAATCCATGGGTGTCAATGAGCCGTGGTCGCGTGAAAGCACAGAGGACACACCCTGCGTGGTTGCGAATTGAAAACTTGCATAGATGAAACGACAAACCAGATTCAATGTCACGTGCGAATTCGGTTACTAACTCTGATCATTGCAGCATGTTCGGCAGCGGAGAAGTTTGCACCAAGGTTGAAGTAGTTTCCGTCAGGAGGAAGTTTGAAACCAGAGAACCGGTCGTCCGTGTTCATGACGCCATGCCGCCTGAATGGGCAGGGATACGAAACACGCTCCTTCGAAATATACATCAAATGTAGATGAGGGGGTGAGAACGAAGGTGGCGGCGGCCCTACCACGGTAGGGGCAGCGTGAGTAGGCTTGTGGGGCAGGGAGGTGCAGCATTCACGTAAAGCATTAGGGTGTACAGACATTTGGGGCATTGTGGTGCAGCATGGGGGGGAAACGTGGTAATCACGTGGGGAAGTGGTGTGATGCGTGGGTGGGAAGCAGGGTAGACTTCCAGGCAAAGGCGGCGCTGCATGGGGGGAAAACAGGTTTGACACGTGGGTAAGAGATTGGCAGCATGGGGAGAAGGAGAATAGGAATGTGGGTAACGGAGGTGCCGCACGGAGGGGAAACCATAGTAGGCATGTGGGGAAGGGGAATGCAGCGAGAGGTTCAAGTACGGTATGAGCAGCATGGGGGGGAGGTGGAGTTGTTGTTTGGTGTGAGTCGGAGAAAGAGGGGAAACCAGGGTGGGAACACAAACCTCATATAAGCACGGTACTATCAGAGTTTAGCAAAAGGAGCCCATGAGACAAGCATACCTATTGAATTCTTGGACATCTTCACCATGAACGATGCACTCTAGGATGTAGAGCCAGACTCCAATAAGAATCGCATGTAGAACATCCGGGAGAACCGCCAAGTAGGGGTTGCCAAATCCCTTCCGTTCCTCGTCGTTTCGATTGAACTTCCACAGCACACACTGCATCCAAACAGTTCAACCGTTGGAATGAGGCTCATTAAAGGCAGTGGGAGTCACGTGAGGAATGAGAACAGAGTAGTTAGCAACAAAAACGACCAGACAAAAAGGCAAACGTTGTCGTTTGCAATTACAGGAATATTGTGTGTCCCATAGGATTTTCGATATTCCTTGTCTGGGTCTGCAGCTACCCCCTTTTGTGCTTCTACCGTCCTCCAGTGGTTCAGGGTGGGATCCATGTTGGCCAGGTTCAGCTGTGTCACGTAGCACTGTGAACAAGGACGGTTAGACCGATGTTGCATCGTGCAAGTCACCTGGGACCCCTCTGGATAGTCGGTCACCCATGCTCTCCCGTGTGGATCAATCAAAGGCACAGAGCTGATGGGGTGTATGGGGGAGGAGCGGACAGAGAGATAGGAAACCGTGAAATGTGTTGTAAAATGACGTGTGCACACATGTGGGAATGGCTTGGGCAGCAAGTGGGAAGGGCGTGGGCAGCATGTGGGAATGGATGGGCGGAATGGGGCGAGCAGATGTTTATTGGTTGTGGGTGTGGGATGCGGATCATGTGGAAAGGGATGGGCATAATGGGGGGGTAAATGTGTAGCATGTGGGATTGAGATGTGGAGCATATGGAAAGGGATGGGCATGTTGATGGGAACGGGTTGTGTGCAAATGGGTATAGGGTATCATATGGATGGTTGGAGCCACACTACAGCGGACAATGATTATAGAAATGGCTATCGCTTACCATTCGCCGGCGGCGATAAGCCTCTCAAGCACAATGTCAGTGCTTTTCTGAAACAGCTCCACCTTTTGAGCTGATGTCATGTCGGGATGTGGAGTTGGTAATAGAGCAAGGAGGACACGTCCGTGGTCTTTCCATCGGAGTCGTAGAGGGATGTTAGTGCATGAGAAGTACAAGGGCCACGCCTTCAAACGCTCGTTCCCGCTAAGAAGCGTCTCGTCACTCGAGATTATAAATGGACACACCAGTTTGTCTTCTGACAGGCCGGCCTGCAGACGTAATGCAAGCACGAGTGCAGCACAACAGATTCGCATTATAGGCAAGAGCACGCAAGTCGGCAGAAACCAGTAATGTAGCGGGAGCACGTCGAACAACACTTCACATGTTGCCCTTGGGCAAAGAAATGAACAGCGCAGCGGCATACGTTGCTAATAGCAAGTTAGCATACCTGCGCCTCTTCCCAGAAGGTCGCAGTCTCTGCTGCCCCATAAAAGCGCTCTTCATTCTCGTACTCGGGTCTTGCACGGTGTACGAACCCATCACGATTCTTCGGGTCGGCCCATAGACGTGCCAGAGCCTGAACGGTGCCAAAAACACAAGTATGCAGTGAAAAGACCGAGAGAGGAGCAGCCCGTCAGAGGAGCAGCCCATGAGAGGAGCAGCCCATGAGAGGAGCAGCCCATGAGAGGAGAAGCCCATGAGAGGAGCAGCCCATGAGAGGAGCAGCCCGTGAGAGGAGCAGCCCGTGAGAGGAGCAGCCCGTGAGAGGAGTAGCCCGTGAGAGGAGCAGCCCATGAGAGAAGCAGCCCATGAGAGGAGCAGCCCATGAGAGGAGCAGCCCATGAGAGGAGCAGCCCATGAGAGGAGCAGCCCATGAGAGGAGCAGCCCATGAGAGGAGCAGCCCATGAGAGGAGCAGCCCATGAGAGGAGTAGCCCATGAGAGGAGCAGCCCATGAGAGGAGCAGCCCGTGAGAGGAGCAGCCCATGAGAGGAGCAGCCCATGAGAGGAGCAGCCCATGAGAGGAGCAGCCCGTGAGAGGAGCAGCCCATGAGAGGAGCAGCCCATGAGAGGAGCAGCCCATGAGAGGAGCAGCCCGTGAGAGGAGCAGCCCATGAGAGGGGCAGCCCATGAGAGGAGCAGCCCGTGAGAGGAGCAGCCCGTGAGAGGAGCAGCCCATGAGAGGAGCAGCCCATGAGAGGAGCAGCCCATGAGAGGAGCAGCCCATGAGAGGAGCAGCCCGTGAGAGGAGCAGCCCATGAGAGGAGCAGCCCGTGAGAGGAGCAGCCCGTGAGAGGAGCAGCCCATGAGAGGAGCAGCCCGTGAGAGGAGCAGCCCATGAGAGGAGCAGCCCATGAGAGGAGCAGCCCATGAGAGGAGCAGCCCATGAGAGGAGCTGCCCATGAGAGGAGCAGCCCGTGAGAGGAGAGAGAAGCGGACAGAGGGATAAGCGGACTGAGAGCTAAGCGGGTGGAGAGAGAAGCGGACAGATACAGCAGCGGACAGAGGGAGAACCGGAGGAGTGAAGCAGACAGATATAAATTTGGACAGAGAGAGAAGTGGAGAGAGAAGCAGACAGGAATAGAATGGGAAAGAGAAAGAAGCGGACAGAGAGAGAAGCGGACAGATATAGAAACGGACAGATAGAAAAGCGGGCGTAGAGAGGAGCGGACAGAGAGAGGAGCGGACAGAGAGAGGAGCGGACAGAGAGAGGGGCGGAGAGATAAAGAAGCAGACAGAGATAGAAGAAGACAGATGGAGGAGGGTCCAGAGAGAGGAGGGTTCAGAGAGAGGAGCAAACAGAGAAAGGAGCGGACAGAGAGAGGAGCGGACAGAGAGAGGGGCGGAGAGATAAAGAAGCGGACAGAGATAGAAGAAGACAGATGGAGGAGGGTCTAGAGAGAGGAGGGTCCAGAGAGAGGAGCAAACAAAGAGAGGAGCGGACAGAGAGAGGAGCGGACGGAGAGTGAAGCGGACATATAGAAAATCTGACATGGAGAGACGTGGACCGAGGTTGAAGCCGACGGTGATAGGTGTGGCCAGTGCAAGGTGCGGAAAGTCATAAGCATAGGTATATAGCACGAAGGTACACTTACCACGACGGGGTCAATGTATTTGACCTTGAACTTCGTCGGCCATCCTTCAACGGTCACCTCCTTTGTAAGGTACTTCTTCTTCTCGACTCCCGGTTTTTCAAACGCATACTTGTCCACCGCGTGCTTCCCATTCCAGTCTGCCAGATCGCTCAGATTGAATTTCGGATGCTTTATCAGTTTGAAGAACAGGGCAATGTCCGTACCACTCAATCCCATCCCTTTGTTGCACAGACACAGAAAACGAAATACTTCCAGGCAGGTATCGAAGGGTTCCTCGGGCTCGTCATATTCAGCAAAGTACGGATTCGCCTCATAGAAGGTTTCTCCGTCGACCAAACCGGGGTCACAAGGGGTGTCGCGGGTGTCGGGTGGCGGATCCGTCGGCAGAGGGTGCAACGATTCCGCAGGAAACACGAATTCAGTTGGAGGTGGCTCCCAAGTTTCACGGCTGGCACGTGGCAGGGCGTCAAGACGTGCACGTTTGTTACTGCATGCGCCTTCGAGGCGCTCGTGATTTGTCTGGCATTTCTCGTCGTCGAATGTTTCCCCAAAAAATACGCATGAGTGACTGGCCATTATCTGATAAAGGCAGGTAAGGTGGCCGTCTGGCTTAGCATGGGCTTCCCGTATCAACAGAAACGATTGCACTACTAACAAAGCCTACTACGTACGACAGAATAACGTACAAGTATGAAGTAGAAGGCGGCCTGCATTGTCGTCCCGTTGCGGGCGTTAGTTCTAGCGCTCATGGCGATATCATTCCAACATTCCACGAATCCCTTGGCGTCTCAAGGCTGTGAGATTGGTACAAGCTAGTGACAAGTCTTCGGGGTGATTTACACCCTGAACACTGGAAGAGGAGATACGAGAGGAAAGACAGGTGTGCAAACTTTGAATCGCCCAAATTCAGTGGATGCATTCGAAATTCGAAACCTGTGGGGTTGAAATGCGGCGTGGATGCGGGAAGCGCTTTGCATATCGCAGCGCCCCCCCTAGAACAACACATGTGTGTTGCGATAATTATGTTTGCTAGGAACGTTGTGTACACTACTAAGCACTGTTCTGTTGTTTAACATTACCGGAATGTTTTATTAATTTGGTGAGTTATTGGTCACAAGTGGGTTCATGCGAATGGCATGTTGCTTTATCCAATTTCGGAGAACTCCAGTAATTGGGAATCAGCACCCTCGTTTACGAATCATCACATACTGGCCAACATGCAACTCAAAGCCTATTTCATCAGATGGCTAGCCGTAATCCAGGATGCAGATTCACTTGTTCACACATAGCTGTTTAGATACCATGATGATTCTTCACTTTAGAGGGTCTGGCACACGACGAGCAGAATGGCCAGTGCTTCACATGAATCTGAAATGCAAGGTATGGAAGGATGCACTTATGTAGCAGGGGCATATTGAAGAAGCAACGTCAGGAATTTAGGGTGGTGGTGCCATTTGTGGTAGCTAGCTGCCCAACGAGCCAATCAAACATGCCAAAGTGAACGATAGGCATTCCATCACTGATTAGTGTGCATGTGTTCAGTCACGTCGTCATGAAATCGTCTCGATCTTGTGTGTAGGGTTATTCGCAATTCTGTCAAGAATCCACAGGATTTGGGATTTAACTTTGAACGTTAACGGTATGCTGCATAAGAACGTGAATCCAGTGTCGGACTATACGTTGACAGGCGTCAGCAGTAAATGCCACCTCTGTAGTAGCATCTCCTATGCGGTATCGCGTCGAGCTTGGACCCACTATTGAAACTAGCAAGCAGAGAGGATATATGCGATGCGGCGACCAGGAGAAGCGACGACCAGGAGAAGCGACGACCAAGAGAAGCGACGACCAGGAGAAGCTGCGATCAGGATAAGCGGAAAGGAGCGGACGGATAACCGGGCGGCGACGAGAGGAGAAGCCTAACTAGGACTAAACATCCGGCTGTGAGAGACTAAAACCAATGGAGGTGTTCATACTAGTGCTTCTCGAGTGGCAATGTAGCTCCTCTACCTGATGTGGAGCTGATACCCGATAACTGGGGAGTGTTGTCAGTGTGTTTGAGCTGTGACGAAACACCTGGTACACGATACCCGATGTGGAAGGTCGACTAGCCACGTCGACAAACTCTTCATGATTACGATCTCATAAACCCGCGCCTGAGTCACCCAAAAGCGGGGTTAGCGATTGGACTCGAAGCCACGTTGGCATAGATCTTCATGAGTGTGAGCGTGAAATCAAGCGCCTCAGCCAATCATACGCGAACATGGAGTACCATGGATGCACCTCGCCTTGCCTGCCTGAGCAGGGGATAGTCGACCAACTCAATCTCAATTGAGCAGCCCCTGCCTGAAAGGAGTACAAATTCGTTTTAAATGCTTGAAGTTATGGTACCAAGATTACTTCTATGGGTTTTTGGCTGATGTGGCAAAATAAAGAGGTAGGAGTGATGGACTGACGAATGCCCTGTGATATTATAGCACGTCGCGCCTATTTATTCTGGAAAGACATGGAGCAGGTGACCTAGTGAAAAATCTCCTATTCACTCACTGTTTCGGAAACTCTGCGCATGCAACATGTCACCGTTTTATCGTTTTGTTGGTTTTTTTACCACCGTTTCTTCACACATTCAGGCCCTTCAAACAAATACCCTGCGATAGGAACTGGTTTGACCTCATTCGCACAACTACGCAGCCCGTGGCGCTTGTTTGTGCGTTCGATGACCTTGAACTGTGCAAGGATAGGCCAGTACGCAACATGATGCCGTTTCATCGTCTGTTTTCTATTATTTAGCTCCTTCTTTTCACACATTCAGGCACTTCAATCAAATACCTTGCGATATGAACTGGTTTGACCTCATTTGCACAACTAGGCAGCCTGTGGCGCTTGATTGTGCGCTCGATGACCTGAAACCGTGCAAGGATAGGCCAGTGCGCAACATGATGCCGTTTCATCGTCTGGTTGCTATTTATCGCCGTATTTTCACACATTCAGGCACTTCAAACAAATACCTTGCGATAGGAACTGGTTTGACCTCATCCGCACAACTACGCAGCCCGTGTCACTTTTTTGTACGTTCGAACACCCTGAACTGTGCAAGGATAGGCCAGTACGCAACATGATGCCGTTTCATCATCTGGTTGCTATTTTTAGCTCCTTCTTTTCACAAATTCAGGTACTTCATTCGATTACCTCGCCGTAGGAACTGGGTTGACCACATTCGAACAACTTCGCAGCCCGTATCTCTTGTTTGTGCGTTCAATGACATGAAACTGTGCAAGGATAGGGCGGTACTACTCATGTCTCCGTTTCATCAAAGGATCATCCATTTGTAATAATTAAGTCTAAATTCGTTGAGGCTGGTACGTGCATGTAACCATCTTGCAATACAAAAATATTTATTGGTCACGGGGTTCAGATGTGTTGGGCTGAGTGCCCCTTAAGATCTTTGGTAGGGACCAACTCTGGGTAGAGTTGGTGTAGTAGCGGAAGCGTTAATAAAGAGTTTTGAACCACCTTGCGCTAGTATGTGAGGGCAAAGTAAGTCGATTAAAGCAAGCAAGTACAAGGGTTTATATAAGAGAACAAGGAATACGTAGAGATATAATTAAACTGTTTTACTGTTGCGGCTCGATACAGTGCGACTCGGGCAACTGCTCAATGTCGAGTCAGTTGTGTGCCCTTGCTGTCGCGCTGCATTTGTCAAGTCAAAGGTTGCTGACCTTTGACTTTTGCGTAACCTCCAGCGGTTAATTCAACCTCCGAGGGTTGACTCGCTGGTGCCTCGATATGTCAGAATTTATATATATAACTGCCTGTAGCTGTAGTTGGTGTAGTTATTATAAACTTTGTTAAGTGGTGCACCTTCTTTGTTCACATGCTATGTGTTTTTGCAAACCTATAGTGAACCCACCTTTTCCAACTTTCTCGATACCTTCCCTTGGCACAACCTACTCGACATCCTCCTTGGGCCTAGGCTACTAAGCCTAGGCCCTAGTTAAACCTAGCATCTGATTACACCCATCCTCGTTCATACTTTGTAATTTCACGCGATATGCTCTGCTTCGCTTGTGCCTTAGTGTTTTGACACGACATAAGCGCTTAGGACCGATTGTTAAAAAACCCTCCCCTTCGCTTCTGAACTGTCGCTGACGTGGCTCTGTCCAGTCAGCAGCAAGCAATATTCGAACTTCTACTTTCCGAGCTTCTGACGTCAGGTAGTCAGCTACCATCTCGGACGTGGGACAGTATGACAGCTCGAGCCTTCCCTTCTCAATCTCGTCCTTGACGAAGAAGTATCGCAAGGCGATGTGTTTCGTCCTGTTTGCGAAAGAAGGTACGGTGTGGAGATGGCAGTCGGTGTGAGTGCAAAACGTTTGGTGATGGTGTCTGCGTATTTCGTAACAATGAGGTAGATAGCGTCTTCTTCTTCCCGGATGGTGAGGCCGAGGTACTATATGACAGTAGATGAGACCGTGAGTGTGAGGTCTTGTTGTAGCTCCCCTTTGAACCAAGTTGTAATGCCGTCAGTTGAGCCAACGTAGAGTAGATCGTCTACATAGAAGCAAAGTATGATGTAGTCGGTACCTTTCGTGAGCCGGTACATTCCCTGGTCGTGCGGCAATTCCTTGAAGCCAATGCGAATGAGGCGAGCGTGTAGGTATTGTTGCCATAGTCGCGGGGCCTGCTTGATGCCGTAGAGTGACTTGAGTAGCTGGCAGTCTTGGTTGGGTTCTTCGTGGGAGCCGTGCGGTAGCTCAACGAAAATTTCAGCATCAACAGGTGCGTAGAGAAACGCGTTTGCGACGTCAATTTGTCACAGCTTCTTCTTCTTCATGGCCGCGATTGTGAGGAGAATGCGTAGTGAGGTGTGGCGGCTAACCGGAGCGAAAGTTTCGGTGAAGTCGCGTCCGTGTTCTTGGTCGAAGCCGCGTACGACCCGGCAAGCTTTGAATTTGTCGATGGTGCCGTCGGCTTTTGTCTTCACACGGAAGACCCACTTCCCGGTGAGCACTGTCTTGTTCTGTGCCACGGCGGTAGGAACCACTTTCCACGTGTTGCGTTCCTCCAGTGCCTTCAGCTCCTTGTCCATGGCTTCGCGCCATTTTTCTTTATGTTCCCCCCCCAGAGCCTGTTGAACTGTCGCAGGCTCTTTAGGAGTGGCGGTGCCATGGACTGCAGTGACGAGTCCGAGAATCTGTAGTCCACTCTGTGAGTAGCGGGGAAGATTTATGTCCCCGGGATAAGCTGCTTCATCTCCCGCTTCTGGATCAGGTATGAAGTTTGGTCCTAGTCGTTCTGCTTTGTTGGTGTGGACTGTTGCAGGTGTTACGTAACCGTTGTCGGCAAAATGGTAGAAGGTTTCGGCGTTGGCACATTTGCGAGGGTTGTCTTCGTCCATGGGAACGTCGACGGAGCAGAACGGAAGAGGTCCGGCTTCTTCTGACGCGTTGTCCACATTCTGCTCGTCCCAGTCAGCTTCGTCCGCTGCGGAGGCGAAGGCTCACCACCACGAAAACCACCCGTGGGATCTTCGTCTTCTTGCAGGTTGGCAAGGTATGTCTGGAGCGTGAGTCGTTCGTACAAAATTACATCACGTGCTGCTACTTTTTCCTTGGAGTGGACGTCGATGTTTTTCCACGCGTTGTAGTTCTTTTCGATACCGAGGTGTAGTCCCCACTGTGCGCGTTGTGAAAATTGGCCCGCTGCATTTGTCAAGTCAAAGGTCGCTGACCTTTGACTTTCGCGTAACCTCCAGCGGTTACTTCAACCTCCGAGGGTTGACTCGCTGGTGCCTCGATATGCTCTGCTTCGCTTGTGCCTTAGTGTTTCGACACGACAGAGGCACTTAGGGCCGATCGTTTCCAGCAAGATGTTGATTTTGTGTAAATGTTGCGCTCGGCTCGAGCAGATGCAAGCGGACGGCTGTTTCCTTTGGCTGCCATTACACGAGATTAACTGCTGGGCATGAGTATCAATATTCATGCTGAGAAGCACAACATAAAACTTGGTTTAATCACCTACAGGCATTACTAACATCGTTGTGATTGCAGTTTTTTTAAAAGACTGCACATACCACAACCAACACAAACCGAAAAGGTTTGGCTGCTGAAAGGCAGTCGATTATCTGCCGAAGCGGGCTCCGCTCGCCTCGTGCTACAGAACCATGGGGAGTTGGTCATGTTGTCGTTTCTGTTTATCTTGCTCAACCTTGCTGGCAGTGCCACTAGGGAAGGATTTCGGTCGTTGAGTGGTCCGCTAATCCTCCCTGTCAACTGTGGCAACGTCACCTTCGACGTGACCAGTGCAGCGCAACTCACCGGCCAGCGTGTGCCTGTACATCGTCCCTCCAACGATCAAACCCTAGTTGACATCCAGCGTCCACTCCTCCCAGTCACAACCAACCCCCATAACTCCCCCGCAGTTTGAATTCAACAATTTGACATCGTGTCCTGGCTTGCCTGTAGTCTGCCTAAAGGAACGCCACGCAAAGGCTTTGCCTGCCAGCCATAAACCGTCGTGATCATTTCTTTTATAGTAGAGGTTCCTGAAACGAGCGGTGTTGCTTGTGATGTTGGACGGGCGATCTGCAGCTATAGCAAGGCTGCTCCCGGTCATCCCCCCGCCGCTGCCAGTGTGTCGTTACTGCAGCATCCTTATATGCGAGCCGCAGGTCCTTGCAACAGAGACAGATGCATTGGCGTACCGCGTATGATGCAGCTCACTATCATAATGCCGAGCCGTAGTGGCTTCCGCCTTGACGTACCGCGTCTGCTGATGCTCATAAGGCCCAAGGGACCTCTGCCTTGTCAAAACGCGTCTGCTGCTGAATTGGCGTACCGCGTCTGCTGCTCACTTGGCATACCGCATCTGACGCAGCTGCCTTGGCGTACCGCACCCACCTTTCCTTGAGGCCTGTCTTTAAACTAGGTGCTGTAGCAACAGAAGCGGACCCCTCTCGTTCCATAAGAACAAGCTTACATTAGGCGGAGTTCCTGTCATTCATCAGACACCAGCTTCGTGATACCTTTGATACGTTCGAACCCCCAGTGCGCCCTCTCCAAGCTTAGCGAAATGGCCGGCCGTCGCCCTGCTAGAAGGCAAAAATCGCCTACTCCGGAAGGTGAGAATGTCGCCGTGCATACCCTACCGCGTTCTGTTCGCTGATTAGACCATGCATGCCCGTCCTGGCGGATGTTACTCTAAACCAACGCAACTCTTGTGTTCCCTCCGTGTGGCAGGGAGCCGAGGCTTTCGTAGTCTTAGCGCGGTGAACAATGTTCCGGTGATAACTGAACAGGCAACGACTGAACAGGCACCTGCCAACAACGACACCAACGGCCACGCGCCAGTACCGCGGACCTCCAACCTGCAGATGAACGCAGCTGTTCCAGTGGCTGGCGCTTATGCATCACCTGCTGCGTATGGCATAAGTAGCACAAGCGCGCGCCGTGGGGCAATCACCGACGCCACGGCTGTTGGTGGTTCCCCTCAGCAGGCGGGGCAGCGTCAGCAATCGGCCGCCACTGGTGGTCGTTCCTCGCAGCAGGCGCGGCAGCCCCTTCCTACCGCCACCGCTGCTGGTCGTTCACTGCAGCAGGGGGGTGTGCATCACTCCTCCGCCTCTGCTGACATTGCATCACAGCTGCAGGGTTCTCCTCCCCTTCCTACCGCCGCCGCTGCTGGCTTCTCGCATCAGCAGGAGCCGCTGCATCACTCCTCTGCCACTTGTGCTGGTGCATCACAGCTGCAGGGTTCTCCTCCCCTTCCTACCGCCGCTGCTGCTGGCTACTCGCATCACCAGGAGCTAATGCATCACTCCTCTGCCGCTGCTGCCGGTGCTTCACAGCTGCAGGGTCCTCCTCCCCTTCCTACCGCCGCCACTGCTGGTCGTTCACTGCAGCATGGGGGTGTGCATCACTCCTCCGCCTCTGCTGACGGTGCATCACAGCTGCAGAGTTCTCCTCCCCTTCCTACCGTTGCCGCTGCTGGCTTCTCGCATCAGCAGGAGCCGCTGCATCACTCCTCTGCCACTTGTGCCGGTGCATCACAGCTGCAGGGTTCTCCTCCCCTTCCTACCGCCGCTGCTGCTGGCTACTCGCATCAGCAGGAGCTGATGCATCACTCCTCTGCCGCTGCTGCCGGTGCTTCACAGCTGCAGGGTCCTCCTCCCCTTCCTACCACCGCCGCTGCTGGTCGTTCACTGCAGCAGGGGGGTGTGCATCACTCTTCCGCCTCTGCTGACGGTGCATCACTGCTGCAGGGTCCGCCTCCCCTTCCTACCGCCGCTACTGCTGGCTACTCGCATCAGCAGGAGCTGATGCATCACTCCTCTGCCGCTGCTGACAGAGCTTCACACCTGCAGGGCTCTCCTCCCCTTCATACCGCCGCCGCTGCTAGATACTCGAGTCAGCAGGAGCTGCTGCATCACTCCTCTGCCGCTGCTGCCGGTGCCTCACAGCTGCAGGGTTCTCCTCCCCGTCCTACCGCCGCCGCTGCTGGATACTCGAGTCAGCAGGAGCCGCTGCATCACTCCTCTGCCGCTGCTGCCGGTGCTTCACAGCTGCAGGGTTCTTCTCCCCTTCATACCGCCGCCGCTGCTGGATACTCGAGTCAGCAGGAGCTGCTGCATCACTCCTCTGCCGCTGCTGCCGGTGCCTCACAGCTGCAGGGTTCTCCTCCCCTTCCTACCGCCGCCGCTGCTGGATACTCGAGTCAGCAGGAGCCGCTGCATCACTCCTCTGCCGCTGCTGCCGGTGCTTCACTGCTGCAGGGTCCTCCTCCCCTTCCTACCACCGCCGCTGCTGGCTACTCGCCTCAGCAAGAGGACCTGCATCTGCCTACCGCTACCTCTGCTTTTGATATCTGGCTGCAAGGACCTCCTCCCCTTCCTACCACCGCTGATGCTGGTTTCGCTGCTGAGCAGGTGGGAATGCATCAGTTTACAGCTGCCGCTGATCCTGGGTGCGTCTCGCATGAACCTCAGCCTCTTGCCTCCGCTGCAGCAGCTGGTCAGTACACTCAACAAGGTAATAACCAGTACACAACAAATGCCGCCACCGCAGCAGCTCAATTCGACAATAGCCAGCCGCCCAGCAGGCCTATCAGCCCTCCCTCTGTCCATCGTATGGAGGGAATGGCAACTGAGGATGGTCCATCCTCTCCATTTGTGCTGCCAAACCATACTAGAGTACCTACAAGGGGGGTAGTGGCAAACCCTGCACCGGAAAGAGAGCCTGTTTATGTGGCCGCCTTCCAGACTCACCTCGGGGAAACTTTGGGGCCAGCACCACCCACGGGAGACGGTGCTGCTGTTGGAAGGGCAGAGTTCGATGCCATGATGGCGGAGGTTAGACGGCTGCAACGTGAGAACCTGACCTTGCAGAATCAGGTTGCAGCATACGGTCGTTCACAATCACCATCCCCGTCATCATCTTCCAATGATGACGACGAACATGCATCCCCCCATGAACCACCCTCCCAACCCCTAGGTGTCCCGGCTCAGAGGGCGCAGCCGCAAGTGATCCTTGCCAACCGGCATACTGTGGGAACAGCAGTTGGCGAGGCACACAACATGGGCATCGCTACGGACTACAACACAATTGCGCCGGATCTCGAACCGTTCGCGACAAAGTTGGCCGCAGCCATGAAGACGATTCCACCTGCTAATGGTGGCTTGTATGTAAGTTTAGGTATATGCATATTTATTCTGTTCTTGTCGCCCAACATAGCCTCGGTATTTGCTTGTCATGTGCTTGCAAGTACCCCAAACCCGAAACCCTTCTCCCATCACGCACACTGCCCCCAACTATTATCTATGCCTATTAGCATTCCAAGCTCACTTGCTGCCCGCCACCCTCAAGCCTAACCGAAACCCCAATTGATGTGAGCGTGATAATCCGTTCGTTGCTAATCTACCTTTCTTCTAACTCCAGGTTGTCATGTCTGACACAATCGAGATCCTAGTGTACAAGACGCCAAATGGTCAAGTGGATTTCTGGCCTTCACGGCAGAGCCTGCTCGCGGCGATGTTAACGGCCATGAAATGCACGACACCGGAGCAGAGGTGGAACCTGCTGCACGTCTACCTCTACGATCAAGTGCGCCACACCTCCATTCGCAACAAGCTGCAGGACATGCGCAATGAAAATCTCACCAAAGGCCGTTGTGGCATTATCAACGGCTTTGACCTTGCGATAGACAGGCCTGACCAAAAAAGGAAAGTTCTTGGCACCACCTCGGTGTCGTCATTTCTGACGACTTTTAGAGCCGGTAAGAATCACCTTATTGTGTGCCCGAAACACCAAACGCCCTTTGCCCGTTACACGCTTTGGTTGTGCTCATTGGCCCCAAAATGTTTTTCTTGTACCTCAAAGGTGGTGCGCATTGGAGGTGGTGCAGGGCTGCCACTTCACCTCTGTGGGCTATGCATTGGCTGGGGCCTCCTCTCTGTAGTGCCCCTACTAATGGTGCCCCCCCGTGTGTTTCCCCCCCCATCGTTTGTCTCTGCAGGTGCGCATTGGAGGTGGTGCAGGGCTGCCACTTCACCTCTGTGGGCTATGCATTGGCTGGGGCCTCCTCTCTTTAGTGCCCCTACTAATGGTTCCCCCCCGTGTGTTTTCCCCCCCATCGTTTGTCTCTGCAGGTGCGCATTGGAGGTGGTGCAGGGCTGCCACTTCACCTCTGTGGGCTATGCATTGGCTGGGGCCTCCTTTCTGTAGTGCCCCTACTAATGGTTCCCCCCCCTTGTGTTTTTCCCCCCATCGTTTGTCTCTGCAGGTGCGCATTGGAGGTGGTGCAGGGCTGCCACTTCACCTCTGTGGGCTATGCATTGGCTGGGGCCTCCTCTCTGTAGTGCCCCTACTCATGGTTCCCCCCCGTGTGTTTTTCCCCCCATCGTTTGTCTCTGCAGGTGCCCATTGGAGGTGGTGCAGGGCTGCCACTTCACCTCTGTGGGCTATGCATTGGCTGGGGCCTCCTCTCTGTAGTGCCCCTACTCATGGTTCCCCCCCGTGTGTTTTTCCCCCCATCGTTTGTCTCTGCAGGTGCGCATTGGAGGTGGTGCAGGGCTGCCACTTCACCTCTGTGGGCTATGCATTGGCTGGGGCCTCCTCTCTGTAGTGCCCCTACTCATGGTTCCCCCCCGTGTGTTTTCCCCCCCATCGTTTGTCTCTGCAGGTGCGCATTGGAGGTGGTGCAGGGCTGCCACATCACCTCTGTGGGCTATGCATTGGCTGGGGCCTCCTCTCTGTAGTGCCCCTACTCATGGTTCCCCCCCGTGTGTTTTCCCCCCCATGGTTTGTCTCTGCAGGTGCGCATTGGAGGTGGTGCAGGGCTGCCACTTCACCTCTGTGGGCTATGCATTGGCTGGGGCCTCCTCTCTGTAGTGCCCCTACTAATGGCTCCCCCCCGTGTGTTTTTCCCCCCATCGTTTGTCTCTGCAGGTGCGCATTGGGGGTGGTGCAGGGCTGCAACTTCACCTCTGTGGGCTATGCATTGGCTGGGGCCTCCTCTCTGTAATGCCCTACTAATGGCTCCCCCCCCTTGTGTTTTTTCCCCCATCGTTTGTCTCTGCAGGTGCGCATTGGAGGTGGTGCAGGGATGCCACTTCACCTCTGTGGGCTATGCATTGGCTAGGGCCTCCACTCTGTAGTGCCCCTACTCATGGCTCCCCCCCCTTGTGTTTTTCCCCCCATCGTTTGTCTCTGCAGGTGCGCATTGGAGGTGGTGCAGGGCTGCCACTTCACCTCTGTGGGCTATGCATTGGCTGGGGCCTCCTCTCTGTAGTGCCCCTACCCATGGCTCCCCCCAGTGTGTTTTCCCCCCCATCGTTTGTCTCTGCAGGTGCGCATTGGAGGTGGTGCAGGGCTGCCACTTCACCTCTGTGGGCTATGCATTGGCTGGGGCCTCCTCTCTGTAGTGCCCCTACTAATGGTTCCCCCCCGTGTGTTTTCCCCCCCATCGTTTGTCTCTGCAGGTGCGCATTGGAGGTGGTGCAGGGCTGCCACTTCACCTCTGTGGGCTATGCATTGGCTGGGGCCTCCTCTCTGTAATGCCCCTACTCATGGTTCCCCCCCGTGTGTTTTTTCCCCCATCGTTTGTCTCTGCAGGTGCGCATTGGAGGTGGTGCAGGGCTGCCACTTCACCTCTGTGGGCTATGCATTGGCTGGGGCCTCCTCTCTGTAGTGCCCCCACTCATGGCTTTCCCCCCTTGTGTTTTTCCCCCCATCGTCTGTCTCTGCAGGTGCGCATTGGAGGTGGTGCAGGGATGCCACTTCACCTCTGTGGGCTATGCATTGGCTGGGGCCTCCTCTCTGTAGTGCCCCTACTCATGGCTCCCCCCCCCTTGTGTTTTTCCCCCCATCGTTTGTCTCTGCAGGTGCGCATTGGAGGTGGTGCAGGGCTGCCACTTCACCTCTGTGGGCTGTGCATTGGCTGGGGCCTCCTCTCTGTAGTGCCCCTACTCATGGTTCCCCCCCGTGTGTTTTCCCCCCCATCGTTTGTCTCTGCAGGTGCCCATTGGAGGTGGTGCAGGGCTGCCACTTCACCTCTGTGGGCTATGCATTGGCTGGGGCCTCCTCTCTGTAGTGCCCCTACTCATGGTTCCCCCCCGTGTGTTTTTCCCCCCATCGTTTGTCTCTGCAGGTGCGCATTAGAGGTGGTGCAGGGCTGCCACTTCACCTCTGTGGGCTATGCATTGGCTGGGGCCTCCTCTCTGTAGTGCCCCTACTAATGGTTCCCCCCCGTGTGTTTTCCCCCCCATCGTTTGTCTCTGCAGGTGCGCATTGGAGGTGGTGCAGGGCTGCCACATCACCTCTGTGGGCTATGCATTGGCTGGGGCCTCCTCTCTGTAGTGCCCCTACTCATGGTTCCCCCCCGTGTGTTTTCCCCCCCATGGTTTGTCTCTGCAGGTGCGCATTGGAGGTGGTGCAGGGCTGCCACTTCACCTCTGTGGGCTATGCATTGGCTGGGGCCTCCTCTCTGTAGTGCCCCTACTAATGGCTCCCCCCCCGTGTGTTTTTCCCCCCATCGTTTGTCTCTGCAGGTGCGCATTGGAGGTGGTGCAGGGCTGCCACTTCACCTCTGTGGGCTATGCATTGGCTGGGGCCTCCTCTCTGTAATGCCCTACTAATGGCTCCCCCCCCTTGTGTTTTTTCCCCCATCGTTTGTCTCTGCAGGTGCGCATTGGAGGTGGTGCAGGGATGCCACTTCACCTCTGTGGGCTATGCATTGGCTAGGGCCTCCTCTCTGTAGTGCCCCTACTCATGGCTCCCCCCCCTTGTGTTTTTCCCCCCATCGTTTGTCTCTGCAGGTGCGCATTGGAGGTGGTGCAGGGCTGCCACTTCACCTCTGTGGGCTATGCATTGGCTGGGGCCTCCTCTCTGTAGTGCCCCTACCCATGGCTCCCCCCCGTGTGTTTTCCCCCCCATCGTTTGTCTCTGCAGGTGCGCATTGGAGGTGGTGCAGGGCTGCCACTTCACCTCTGTGGGCTATGCATTGGCTGGGGCCTCCTCTCTGTAGTGCCCCTACTCATGGCTCCCCCCCCTTGTGTTTTTCCCCCCATCGTTTGTCTCTGCAGGTGCGCATTGGAGGTGGTGCAGGGCTGCCACTTCACCTCTGTGGGCTATGCATTGGCTGGGGCCTCCTCTCTGTAGTGCCCCTACCCATGGCTCCCCCCCGTGTGTTTTCCCCCCCATCGTTTGTCTCTGCAGGTGCGCATTGGAGGTGGTGCAGGGCTGCCACTTCACCTCTGTGGGCTATGCATTGGCTGGGGCCTCCTCTCTGTAGTGCCCCTACTCATGGCTCCCCCCCCTTGTGTTTTTCCCCCCATCGTTTGTCTCTGCAGGTGCGCATTGGAGGTGGTGCAGGGCTGCCACTTCACCTCTGTGGGCTATGCATTGGCTGGGGCCTCCTCTCTGTAGTGCCCCTACCCATGGCTCCCCCCCGTGTGTTTTCCCCCCCATCGTTTGTCTCTGCAGGTGCGCATTGGAGGTGGTGCAGGGCTGACACTTCACCTCTGTGGGCTATGCATTGGCTGGGGCCTCCTCTCTGTAATGCCCTACTAATGGCTCCCCCCCCTTGTGTTTTTTCCCCCATCGTTTGTCTCTGCAGGTGCGCATTGGAGGTGGTGCAGGGATGCCACTTCACCTCTGTGGGCTATGCATTGGCTAGGGCCTCCTCTCTGTAGTGCCCCTACTAATGGCTCCCCCCCCGTGTGTTTTTCCCCCCATCGTTTGTCTCTGCAGGTGCGCATTGGAGGTGGTGCAGGGCTGCCACTTCACCTCTGTGGGCTATGCATTGGCTGGGGCCTCCTCTCTGTAGTGCCCCTACCCATGGCTCCCCCCCGTGTGTTTTCCCCCCCATCGTTTGTCTCTGCAGGTGCGCATTGGAGGTGGTGCAGGGCTGCCACTTCACCTCTGTGGGCTATGCATTGGCTGGGGCCTCCTCTCTGTAGTGCCCCTACTCATGGCTCCCCCCCCTTGTGTTTTTCCCCCCATCGTTTGTCTCTGCAGGTGCGCATTGGAGGTGGTGCAGGGCTGCCACTTCACCTCTGTGGGCTATGCATTGGCTGGGGCCTCCTCTCTGTAGTGCCCCTACCCATGGCTCCCCCCCGTGTGTTTTCCCCCCCATCGTTTGTCTCTGCAGGTGCGCATTGGAGGTGGTGCAGGGCTGACACTTCACCTCTGTGGGCTATGCATTGGCTGGGGCCTCCTCTCTGTAATGCCCTACTAATGGCTCCCCCCCCTTGTGTTTTTTCCCCCATCGTTTGTCTCTGCAGGTGCGCATTGGAGGTGGTGCAGGGATGCCACTTCACCTCTGTGGGCTATGCATTGGCTAGGGCCTCCTCTCTGTAGTGCCCCTACTAATGGTTCCCCCCCGTGTGTTTTCCCCCCCATCGTTTGTCTCTGCAGGTGCGCATTGGAGGTGGTGCAGGGCTGCCACTTCACCTCTGTGGGCTATGCATTGGCTGGGGCCTCCTCTCTGTAATGCCCCTACTCATGGTTCCCCCCCGTGTGTTTTTTCCCCCATCGTTTGTCTCTGCAGGTGCGCATTGGAGGTGGTGCAGGGCTGCCACTTCACCTCTGTGGGCTATGCATTGGCTGGGGCCTCCTCTCTGTAGTGCCCCCACTCATGGCTTTCCCCCCTTGTGTTTTTCCCCCCATCGTCTGTCTCTGCAGGTGCGCATTGGAGGTGGTGCAGGGATGCCACTTCACCTCTGTGGGCTATGCATTGGCTGGGGCCTCCTCTCTGTAGTGCCCCTACTCATGGCTCCCCCCCCCTTGTGTTTTTCCCCCCATCGTTTGTCTCTGCAGGTGCGCATTGGAGGTGGTGCAGGGCTGCCACTTCACCTCTGTGGGCTGTGCATTGGCTGGGGCCTCCTCTCTGTAGTGCCCCTACTCATGGTTCCCCCCCGTGTGTTTTCCCCCCCATCGTTTGTCTCTGCAGGTGCCCATTGGAGGTGGTGCAGGGCTGCCACTTCACCTCTGTGGGCTATGCATTGGCTGGGGCCTCCTCTCTGTAGTGCCCCTACTCATGGTTCCCCCCCGTGTGTTTTTCCCCCCATCGTTTGTCTCTGCAGGTGCGCATTAGAGGTGGTGCAGGGCTGCCACTTCACCTCTGTGGGCTATGCATTGGCTGGGGCCTCCTCTCTGTAGTGCCCCTACTAATGGTTCCCCCCCGTGTGTTTTCCCCCCCATCGTTTGTCTCTGCAGGTGCGCATTGGAGGTGGTGCAGGGCTGCCACATCACTTCTGTGGGCTATGCATTGGCTGGGGCCTCCTCTCTGTAGTGCCCCTACTCATGGTTCCCCCCCGTGTGTTTTCCCCCCCATGGTTTGTCTCTGCAGGTGCGCATTGGAGGTGGTGCAGGGCTGCCACTTCACCTCTGTGGGCTATGCATTGGCTGGGGCCTCCTCTCTGTAGTGCCCCTACTAATGGCTCCCCCCCCGTGTGTTTTTCCCCCCATCGTTTGTCTCTGCAGGTGCGCATTGGAGGTGGTGCAGGGCTGCCACTTCACCTCTGTGGGCTATGCATTGGCTGGGGCCTCCTCTCTGTAATGCCCTACTAATGGCTCCCCCCCCTTGTGTTTTTTCCCCCATCGTTTGTCTCTGCAGGTGCGCATTGGAGGTGGTGCAGGGATGCCACTTCACCTCTGTGGGCTATGCATTGGCTAGGGCCTCCTCTCTGTAGTGCCCCTACTCATGGCTCCCCCCCCTTGTGTTTTTCCCCCCATCGTTTGTCTCTGCAGGTGCGCATTGGAGGTGGTGCAGGGCTGCCACTTCACCTCTGTGGGCTATGCATTGGCTGGGGCCTCCTCTCTGTAGTGCCCCTACCCATGGCTCCCCCCCGTGTGTTTTCCCCCCCATCGTTTGTCTCTGCAGGTGCGCATTGGAGGTGGTGCAGGGCTGCCACTTCACCTCTGTGGGCTATGCATTGGCTGGGGCCTCCTCTCTGTAGTGCCCCTACTCATGGCTCCCCCCCCTTGTGTTTTTCCCCCCATCGTTTGTCTCTGCAGGTGCGCATTGGAGGTGGTGCAGGGCTGCCACTTCACCTCTGTGGGCTATGCATTGGCTGGGGCCTCCTCTCTGTAGTGCCCCTACCCATGGCTCCCCCCCGTGTGTTTTCCCCCCCATCGTTTGTCTCTACAGGTGCGCATTGGAGGTGGTGCAGGGCTGACACTTCACCTCTGTGGGCTATGCATTGGCTGGGGCCTCCTCTCTGTAATGCCCTACTAATGGCTCCCCCCCCTTGTGTTTTTTCCCCCATCGTTTGTCTCTGCAGGTGCGCATTGGAGGTGGTGCAGGGATGCCACTTCACCTCTGTGGGCTATGCATTGGCTAGGGCCTCCTCTCTGTAGTGCCCCTACTCATGGCTCCCCCCCCTTGTGTTTTTCCCCCCATCGTTTGTCTCTGCAGGTGCGCATTGGAGGTGGTGCAGGGCTGCCACTTCACCTCTGTGGGCTATGCATTGGCTGGGGCCTCCTCTCTGTAGTGCCCCTACCCATGGCTCCCCCCCGTGTGTTTTCCCCCCCATCGTTTGTCTCTGCAGGTGCGCATTGGAGGTGGTGCAGGGCTGCCACTTCACCTCTGTGGGCTATGCATTGGCTGGGGCCTCCTCTCTGTAGTGCCCCTACTCATGGCTCCCCCCCCTTGTGTTTTTCCCCCCATCGTTTGTCTCTGCAGGTGCGCATTGGAGGTGGTGCAGGGCTGCCACTTCACCTCTGTGGGCTATGCATTGGCTGGGGCCTCCTCTCTGTAGTGCCCCTACCCATGGCTCCCCCCCGTGTGTTTTCCCCCCCATCGTTTGTCTCTGCAGGTGCGCATTGGAGGTGGTGCAGGGCTGCCACTTCACCTCTGTGGGCTATGCATTGGCTGGGGCCTCCTCTCTGTAATTCCCTACTAATGGCTCCCCCCCGTGTGTTTTCCCCCCCATCGTTTGTCTCTGCAGGTGCGCATTGGAGGTGGTGCATGGCTGCCACTTCACCTCTGTGGGCTATGCATTGGCTGGGGCCTCCTCTCTGTAGTGCCCCTACTCATGGCTCCCCCCCCTTGTGTTTTTCCCCCCATCGTTTGTCTCTGCAGGTGCGCATTGGAGGTGGTGCAGGGCTGCCACTTCACCTCTGTGGGCTATGCATTGGCTGGGGCCTCCTCTCTGTAGTGCCCCTACCCATGGCTCCCCCCCGTGTGTTTTCCCCCCCATCGTTTGTCTCTGCAGGTGCGCATTGGAGGTGGTGCAGGGCTGCCACTTCACCTCTGTGGGCTATGCATTGGCTGGGGCCTCCTCTCTGTAGTGCCCCTACCCATGGCTCCCCCCCGTGTGTTTTCCCCCCCATCGTTTGTCTCTGCAGGTGCGCATTGGAGGTGGTGCAGGGCTGACACTTCACCTCTGTGGGCTATGCATTGGCTGGGGCCTCCTCTCTGTAATGCCCTACTAATGGCTCCCCCCCCTTGTGTTTTTTCCCCCATCGTTTGTCTCTGCAGGTGCGCATTGGAGGTGGTGCAGGGATGCCACTTCACCTCTGTGGGCTATGCATTGGCTAGGGCCTCCTCTCTGTAGTGCCCCTACTAATGGTTCCCCCCCGTGTGTTTTCCCCCCCATCGTTTGTCTCTGCAGGTGCGCATTGGAGGTGGTGCAGGGATGCCACTTCACCTCTGTGGGCTATGCATTGGCTAGGGCCTCCTCTCTGTAGTGCCCCTACTCATGGCTCCCCCCCCTTGTGTTTTTCCCCCCATCGTTTGTCTCTGCAGGTGCGCATTGGAGGTGGTGCAGGGCTGCCACTTCACCTCTGTGGGCTATGCATTGGCTGGGGCCTCCTCTCTGTAGTGCCCCTACCCATGGCTCCCCCCCGTGTGTTTTCCCCCCCATCGTTTGTCTCTGCAGGTGCGCATTGGAGGTGGTGCAGGGCTGCCACTTCACCTCTGTGGGCTATGCATTGGCTGGGGCCTCCTCTCTGTAGTGCCCCTACTCATGGCTTCCCCCCCTTGTGTTTTTCCCCCCATCGTTTGTCTCTGCAGGTGCGCATTGGAGGTGGTGCAGGGCTGCCACTTCACCTCTGTGGGCTATGCATTGGCTGGGGCCTCCTCTCTGTAGTGCCCCTACTCATGGCTTCCCCCCCTTGTGTTTTTCCCCCCATCGTTTGTCTCTGCAGGTGCGCATTGGAGGTGGTGCAGGGATGCCACTTCACCTCTGTGGGCTATGCATTGGCTGGGGCCTCCTCTCTGTAGTGCCCCTACTCATGGCTCCCCCCCCCTTGTGTTTTTTCCCCCATCGTTTGTCTCTGCAGGTGCGCATTGGAGGTGGTGCAGGGCTGCCACTTCACCTCTGTGGGCTATGCATTGGCTGGGGCCTCCTCTCTGTAGTGCCCCTACTAATGGTTCCCCCCCGTGTGTTTTTTCCCCCATCGTTTGTCTCTGCAGGTGCGCATTGGAGGTGGTGCAGGGCTGCCACTTCACCTCTGTGGGCTATGCATTGGCTGGGGCCTCCTCTCTGTAGTGCCCCTACTAATGGTTCCCCCCCGTGTGTTTTTCCCCCCATCGTTTGTCTCTGCAGGTGCGCATTGGAGGTGGTGCAGGGATGCCACTTCACCTCTGTGGGCTATGCATTGGCTGGGGCCTCCTCTCTGTAATGCCCCTACTCGTGGCTCCCCCCCCTTGTATTTTCCCCCCCATCGTTTGTCTCTGCAGGTGCGCATTGGAGGTGGTGCAGGGATGCCACTTCACCTCTGTGGGCTATGCATTGGCTGGGGCCTCCTCTCTGTAGTGCCCCTACTCATGGCTCCCCCCCCATGTGTTTTTCCCCCCATCGTTTGTCTCTGCAGGTGCGCATTGGAGGTGGTGCAGGGCTGCCACTTCACCTCTGTGGGCTATGCATTGGCTGGGGCCTCCTCTCTGTAGTGCCCCTACTAATGGTTCCCCCCGGTGTGTTTTCCCCCCCATCGTTTGTCTCTGCAGGTGCGCATTGGAGGTGGTGCAGGGATGCCACTTCACCTCTGTGGGCTATGCATTGGCTAGGGCCTCCTCTCTGTAGTGCGCCTACTCATGGCTCCCCACCCTTGTGTTTTTTCCCCATCGTTTGTCTCTGCAGGTGCGCATTGGAGGTGGTGCAGGGCTGCCACTTCACCTCTGTGGGCTATGCATTGGCTGGGGCCTCCTCTCTGTAGTGCCCCTACTCATGGTTCCCCCCCGTGTGTTTTCCCCCCCATCGTTTGTCTCTGCAGGTGCGCATTGGAGGTGGTGCAGGGCTGCCACTTCACCTCTGTGGGCTATGCATTGGCTGGGGCCTCCTCTCTATAGTGCCCCTACTCATGGTCCCCCCCCCCTGTGTGTTTTTCCCCCCATCCTTTGTCTGTGCAGGTGCGCATTGGAGGTGGTGCAGGGCTGCATCCTCACTTCTATGGGCTACGCATTGGTTGGGAGCCTCCTCTTAGTAGTGCCCTCTCCCCACACATAGTGTCCCCCCTATTGTTTTCCGCCCCCATCCTTTGACTCTTCAGGTGCGTCTTGTAGGTGGTGCTGCTCATTGTCTGGCACAGTCTTATCTTCTCCTGTTCTCTTGCCGCACAACATGCCTTGTATGATTTGCCCCGAGGGTGTGTTCTATGGCCCATGCAGTGAATGGGTCATTCGGACTACTGACGTGGCATGTGAACCGCCGTGGTGTGCCGATTGCGACAGCGGTATTTGTCCGAAGCATCGCTGCGTCGTTTGCTCGTCCAGGGCACTCGGTGGTGGTGCTGAAAGTGATTCATATCGCATTTTGGCTGTTCGGGGTGAGTTCTGTTTTGTGTACTGAGTACTAGCTGAAAATCTTTGTCGGTTGTCTAATGTCTTCTTAAGATTTGTGTTTGTATGGTTCGCAGGTGGAGCACAAACTGAAGAAAGGGACCGACCTTACCAAGAGCACAAAGGAGAACCGTGACGGCGTGGCAATTTATCACCGTGCCGTCAAGGATTGGGTCAATGCAGCTATTTCTGTTGCGAACAATGTGAGGGGGCCTTGGTGGAACAACCGCTACTCTGCTTGGAAGTTTTCTAGTGAAACGAACAGTGTGTTTATCCGCGATGATGGGTTGGATGACTGAAGCTAGCTACAACACCGTTATTTAATACTAATCCTGTAGTTATTATTATTGTATGCGTATTGGTACAATATTAGGTAGAATGAGCTAGATGTGGATCAATCATCTTGCCTGTAGTAATTATTAAATAAAGAATTTCAACATGAATATGTTGAGGATTTATACAATTTTAATAATATATGCACATGAACAATGATAATAACGAGTTATGGTTTTATCAAAAATATTCACGCACAGTGAGTTCAGCGAAAATCAGAACTGAAATATATATTGACCAATAATGACTGAATTGAAAAGGTAACAGGCTACTTGTATTATCAGAAAATTCAACAAACCGTACAGTTGTGCGATGCCCATCAGGGCGTCAAGTTACCACTACTAAAACCAGCCAGTCAGATGCTAAACACTCAAGTTCGCGCACCACAGATGTAAGCGAGCGATGCCAGCAATCACGCACATTAAGGCATCAGATTTGTTTGACTCCAATCCAGAACATTCATATCTTGCGCGGTAAAATCTCCCCCCGTGTGTGAACAAACGAGTGCCATACACGTCATGATTTCTGATTCATTGACCAATTCAAAGTTACGAGAGGGTAAGTCTCAACAGGTTAGAGATGAGCGGTTGTGATTCGTCGCGATCAAGTGCATCCCAATCGAAGTGTCCCACGGGTATGTTTTTGAGTGTCATCTGGGTATGCTGTGTTCAACCAGCCTGCGAGACACTCGCAGGAAGGTTTTCAGTAACTTTCCCAGCCCCGTTTTTTTGTGATGACCGAAAAGGAGTCGTGAAGGCGCCGCAAGCAGGACTCACCGTCGATGCGCTGATTTAAGTGGTAAGAGTAGTAGCAAACGCACCTTTGTGTGCCGCACTCAGAGGACGGTTGCGGCCCGTCGACTATCTCGAAAGGGAGGGTAGAACAGAGGATTGTAGAAGACACGTCTGCAGTGCTTGTCGGATCGCTCTAGACAGTACTACGTAAAGCATGTGTTCAGACATCCCAAAAACGTTCCCCGCAATATTCTACCCCAAGGTCACATCAGGGTTACCCCGATTGGTGATACCCCATTGTCGGCAGCAGTGATACCCCAATGTCACCCCGGTCGAGGCTTCAGTTCGTTGTCACACTGGGGTGACCCCGAGATGTCACCCTCCCGCGAAGTTTGGGCCCAATCACGTGCGTTCCCGATTCCCGCTTAACGCGAGCCGCTTCTGCGCTGTTAACTTTCTCGATTTCAACACTATCATTGCTACAAAACAATATTTTCTATTTTGTCATTAAAAAAACTATTATAAGTCTCATTCCGCTATTCCCACAATTAGTATTGATATCAATCAATTACTGTTAATTTTGTCACGGGCTGCTTATTGCCAGTATAATTTGTATGCAGAAGCTGGTCGATTCCATTAATCAATCTGCACATTTTAAATAAAGCATTACAGAACGCGTTGACATGTAGACAACGTGCACTACTCTGCAGATACAGCACGTTATAAAAGCTATGTTACTCACTCATGAGAGCTCCAGCACAACCTCACTACCCAATGTAGACGATGGTTTGCTCCTGCAACACACAACACAAAGAAAACAGGAACACACGAGATTGCATGATTCTTACCACACGAATATGTGACAGGATCGCCTTCCGTATTCTGCACCGAGTGGCGACATTCAGACACGGGGAGGGTGGGTAAGAGTGAGGAATAAGTAGTGAGAACAAGTAGAGAAACATTGGTACACGAGGAAACGATCACGCCACAGGTGTCATTATGCACCGCATGCTCACCAGCAGAGAAATCTGGCCAGATACGAAGCTAGTTGGTGATACAGCATCTGCAAAACATTCGCGGCAAAGGCAACGAGATTCGATGAAACAAACCATGTGACGGAGAGAAGGCATGTGGAAACCAGGCTGCAGACAAATAAAAATAAACGGAGGCAATGAAAAAATATAATTAGAGTGACGCCATGAAGCAAACGGAATGAAAGGGCGCTCATCCTGCAACCCCATAGTACAGCATTTCAGCTTACCTCACGACGAGCACTATTTACAGCTTGACTGAACAACAATTCTTAGGTCGATACGAGTCGAGAATGGAGCATCACGCATCGCCACCGTGTTCGATATTCTGCCATGAAAAAGCGATAACGAAATAAGGCATATACGATGCATGTCATTCAAACAACGGCACCCCTAAAATACTATGACTTCGCTGGTGGAAAAGTGAAGGAACTTAATTCCCAAAACGTGCACGCGAAATCTGAACACGGTCAGAACATCACCAGGGCTAATCGCGACAACCTGCTTCTTGTTCAAGTAAGCTGCGTGTAGCTCTCGTAGTAGCTGCTCCACGTGAGTATCGTGAGCTGAAAACAACTTAGGTAGAGAATGACGGGTTGTGTTTGAACCAGGATGGACAAGGCTAGAAGGCAGTGATGGGTGAGGAGAGGCAGTAGAAGGTGGTTGTCAAAGAGCTACGATTGGTTCGTGATCTAAACTGTGCCACGTAACCCAACCCATCACTGTAATTACAACCTATTGAGTGATGTGATAAGATAATGGAATCTTTCTGGCTCACAACCATTTACTTTTCAATTCGAATACGGAAAGACGAAATGCACAGTCAAGGCTTACCGTACGTGGCTGCCTCAGCAGCCAAAGTGAAGCAAACTTTTGATTGACGCCGAGCCTCCAGCCGAAGCTAGGGGGTATCCTCGGGGTAACAACGAACTGATATGCCCCCTTGATTGGTCTATGGTTTCATTACGAAGGTGCGCGAACATTTCTGCGAGTGGTAATGAACTCGCCAGCACAACCTCGGGGGCACTTGTGGGAAACATGAGGGTTACCTCACGAGGGTGACCTTGGGGTATCCCTCGACTTCGGAGCGAATTTTGCGTTGTGATTTTTGAGATGGAGTGGCAGACAAGAGCAAAAGGTGGTGGAAAGTCTGACATCATGGCGTCAATATCTGCAGAACCACCAAGGAGAATGCGAGACCGTTGACTTGACCTTGCTTTCTTGCATTCGTGTCACTTCGCTTTCCTTTACTCTATATATACACCTGTTTGCCTATGTATAGTATATTTTTAAGCTAATTTCATACTGGCCTTACGGCCGTGATCTTTCAGAATAACCGAAGCTTCCAACACTGACTGTATCAGTATATTAGAGCAACCGGAATAGGAAAAATGTGTTTGATTTTGAACGGAAGTATCTTAATTATCTACAACGCGCTTTTCTTCGCCGTCCATATTACGGGTCACGTGCCCAACCGCTTTTCGCCCGTTACTGGTTAAGGTGTTCCGCCAAATCGCTCACTCCTTTTGCCAACTCTTCCACTGTTATTCACGCCAAGTCTGTCAAATGATAAATATGTTGGAATTGTTGCGATCAGAAGTCGATCAAGCCTAAGATCACGTTGGGAAGGTTCGCACACTACCAGTATTGATTGGTAGTGGTGGGCCCTTCACCTGAATTAAGAGTGGATGCAAAATTATTGAGATAACCCAAGCATGCGAATAGAAAGTTATAAATATGAGTACAGTGGAATGCGAAACGACCTCGACTAGCCATGTACTCTAAGGGGTACATTCCCTTATTGCAGCGAAATCCAACCTTGCGACTCCAGACGCTTACGAAATGGTCCAGGCAGAATCCTCGCCACTACCGTTGCCTAATGTTGTCTGCCTTGACGATCCAGATGCTTCATAACCGTATGAACCGTTGCGTTACTTCCAGGGCTGACGCTATCAGACTATTTAGTCTGATTAGTCTGACGAATCAGTGCACTTGGTGGAAAATGTATTTCCAGAGTAATCCATTCTTCATCACTGAGTGCCTCAGACTTATTGTTTTGAGGCCCCTGATTCAATGTAATTGGACCAGAGCAACGGGGCGGCGACGGGGCCGCGAAGGGGCCGTGAGGGGCCTCGAAGGGCGGCGACAGGGCCGGTAGGAGCGGCAACGGGGCCGCTAGAGGCGGTGACGGGGACGATAGGGGCGGCGACGGGGCCGATAGGGACGGCGACGGGGCCGCTAGAGGCGGCGACGGGGTCGCAAAGGGGCCGAGAGGGCCTCGAAGGGCGGCGACGGGGCCGCTAGGGGCGACGACGGGGCCGCAAAGGGGCCGCGAGGGGCCTAGAGGGGGCGGCGACGGGGCCACAAGGGACGGCGACGGGGCCGTAAGGGGTGGCGACGGGGCCGTAAGGGGTGGCGCCGTGAGAGACGACGTGAGGGCGGCCAACGGGGCGCGCCTCAGGCAGGGGTGACTCGCGCTCCGGCTAGAAAAAAAAATTAGTGGTGGGCCCTGAGAAGCGTTCCCACTAGGGAACCTGCTCTATACCATGTGAAGAAATGAGGAAGGAATGAATGAACTAGCAAGCACGTGGGTACAAGTAGGAAA